TCGTGGTGTGATATTACAAGGAAACGCGTATCAAGAATTGTACAGTAATTTCGTTTGTAAAATGTTATATTATAAACCACTAGTGCACAACATACGTCAATGGTTTTATAACAACACTACTGCACCATATTAGTATATATTTTATATACTAATATATAATATGTCCACATTACAATATAGGAATACCTTCAAATGCTAAGCATTAGTTAAAACGTATGGCAGTGTATTAATGTATTGTACATGTACCTCAATACGAATATCTACATTTGTTCCAGTACAGTATAGTGCATGCATGATACATTTGTATACGCAGTCATATTGTGCCATGTACGTTTACGAAGCTATATTTACATTTGAGTGCAAGTATAATCAAGTACTTGTGTGCACGCACCAATGTGCAAGCATTGTATGTTGCATAGGGACGTGCATTGTATATGCACAGTAATTTCGTTACCATTCGTGCACATGGTGAAATCCACAAATGTTGCCCACTAACAGGGCTCACGTTTGTTGCAAACCAAGGACAAAGGAAACGTTGGAAGGGCGCCCGCTAGCGGCAACCCAAGCCTCGCAACAACATCGACAGCACACACACAAAAAAAACCCCACCGCAATTTTACACGTTGACAGCAGCAACGCAAGCCGGCGAATTAAAGCGTAAGAAGAATAAAAGGGCTGCAATAATTGGGAACGATGAACGGTCGTTGATGATTGATGTCACGACGAGACAACGTTTCGGCATCGTTCTCAGCCACAATGTCGACCGCAACATGCTACGGCTGCTACTGCTGTTGTTTTTTTCCGTTTGCATCCGTCGTCAAAGATTTTGACAGGATATAACCGTGGCCCTGCCTTACGATAAAACAGCGTCTGTCTTTAAATCGCGAGAGTGACATCATCGCAGGCACGGAATGAGCGTTCACCAAACCCGCGTTCTGCGTGCCACCAGCTGCGTCTGCATGACACCTGTCAATCAAGTTTGACGTGCACATGACATGCACGTTCACGGATGAAGCATGCACGAATAAACACACGCACGGGGTAGGGGGGGGGGCTCTGGGACTATATTTTATAAAGAAACGTTAAATGCTAGTTGTGTGCCCGTTTAAAGTCTTGTCACTTGTCAGTGCGTGCACACACACACACATAGAAGCACACGCACACAAGCACACACACACAGGCACACACACATACAATCACACACATACAAGCACACGCACACAAGCACACACACACAAGCACACACACACACACAAGCACACACACGCACACAAGCACACACACACAAGCACACACACACGCACACGCACACATACAAGCACACACACAAGCACACACACACAAGCACACACATACAACCGCACACACATACAACCGCACACACACACAAGCACACACACACAAGCACACACACATACAAGCATACACACACATACAAGCATACACACACATACAAGCACACACACATACAAGCACACACACAAAGCACACACACACACAAGCACACACACACATACAAAGCACACACACACATACAAGCACACACACAAGCACACACACACATACAACCACACACACAAGCACACACACAAGCACACACACACATACAAGCACGCACACACACACAAGCACACACACATACAAGCACACGCACACATACAAGCACACACACAGATACAAGCACACGCACACGTACACACACACACAAGCACACGTACACACATACAAGCACACACACACAAGCACACACACATACAAGCACACACACACACACGCACACACACACAAGCACACACACACAAGCACACACACACAAGCACACACACAAGCACACACACACACACACAAGCACACACACATACAAGCACACACACATATAAGCACACACACACAAGCACACACACAAGCACACACACACACAAGCACACACAAGCATGCACACACACACATCCAAAGCACACACACATACAACCACACACACACATACAAGCACAGACACACACATACAAGCACACACACACAAGCACACACACACAAACAAGCACACACACACAAGCACACACACATACAAGACAAAGATCCCCCGTATAGCCTTAACAGACTGTAGGGGCAAGTGCTGTTAGCGAGCACCTATGAAGGCCAGAACGGTACACGAGGGGGTGGGTGGCCAGCGCCACGCCCGACCGCCTTTGTCTCCCCAGTGGCGATGTTTACACACCGCACAAGGTACTCATTTAAGGCTGAGTCGACCTAGGGGAGGCCCAGGACCGGTTCAGATCATCGTCACTGGTGTTAGCCGTGAACGGGAATCGAACCCGGGTCGCCAGGTTCATAGCGCAGCGCGCTAACCGCTACACTACCGCACACACACACATACAAGCACACACACATACAAGCACACACACATACAAGCACACACAAGCACACACACACACAAGCACACACACATACAAGCACACACACATACAAGCACACACAAGCACACACACACATACAAGCACACACACATACAAGCACACACATACACATACAAGCGCACACACACATACAAGCACACACATACACATACAAGCGCACACACACAAGCACACACACACACAAGCACACACACACATACAAGCACACACACACACAAGCACACACACATACAAGCACACACAAGCACACACACACATACAAGCACACACATACACATACAAGCGCACACACACACACAAGCACACACACAAACACATACATACATACAAGCATGCATGCATGCACATTGAGGAATATAATTGCAGTGTAAGAGCGCTTTTACAGCGTGCATTTACTTTGTGTGTGTGTACACATTGATAAGCATGCATGCATATTCTCGCAGAATGCCATCATAGATGTGGTTACACATCTACACTGAACAATACATCTGCACACAGCACACGTGTGCGTTATACAGTACAATGATGTGCATATTAGAGTACACTTCAATAGTCTGTGTAGCCTGCTGTGCATATCAACTTGCACGAACAAATGTGCATATAATGACATGATTTCATACAGCATACTTACACAATAATACAGTTTAATTGTATACTGCACCGGTATATTTACTCTACATTATATATTTTTTTAAAATCCATGCAATTGCTGTATACTGTCACACTCCTGTATGCACGTGTACCGAAGTTACCACATGCAGTCCTGTATTTGAAATCTGTTTGATGCATACATTTCCACGTATGCATAGTACACAATACCATGTAGTCACACGCACAGAAACCCCTCACGTGTTGATCATTGTCTTGCATGACGCGCATCGAGTACGGATGTAAGTGCATTCATATCCATTGTTTTATTGACGAGCAGTGCAGTCTATAACCAATCCGTGTGTGTCTACATTCATCGTACAAAAATTACATTCTGCCCACACATCAATTTGCATTTACATAGATGCATGCCCATTCATACAGAGACAATTATAATGATTATTAACTCAACAGTAGTGTACTCTACACACCCACACGCGTAAACTGAACGATGAAATCAATGTGCAGTACACAGCACGTGTCTGTACACACAGGTGTGTGTGTGTTACTGAGTGATTGCAGGTGCCAGCTGTAGAGGGTTAGGTGGGGGTCTTGTCATGAGGATAGGGGACAGGAGGATCTAGATAAGGTGGCTAATGAGGTTAGGAAGCTTATATGGGTTAAGAGAGCTGGGGGGGGCTAGGTGAGTAGGAGAGCCAGGGGGGGTTTATTTAAGAGGGTGTTATATGATTGTCGTGGAAGGGATTAAAATATCGTTTAATGGGGTAGGAGGTTATCGAGAAAGGTACCAGGGCTACAGGGGATTTAACAGGGGTTTAAACGGGGCTTGATTATCTCCAGCAGGATTTAAAAAGGGATACTTTGTCTATCGAGTCAATCAGGGACTTGAGCATGAGGTTGTCTTAGAGGGCTTAACGAAGCTGAGGCTTTCTAGGAGGGTTTAATTCTGGCTAAGAGGGCTAGAGGTCCTCAAGGAGGGTTCCGTGGGGGTGGCTGGGCTGTGAAGACAGCTTAAGATGGCCTAAGCGTGCTGGGGGAAGGGGGTCTAAGACGGGTGGGGGGGTTAAGAGGGCTAGGCAGCTCTAAGAGGGCTAGCAGGGTTCTAATAGGGGTAGGCGATCCATCGAGGTCTATGACGTCTGGGCTATCTCCGTGGGTCGACGAGGTCTCGGTTATTTACGAAGGTGCCTACGAGGAGGATAGGTGCCCTATGGGCGTCTAAGAGGAGGAATAGGATATCTGTGGGGGGGAGGGGTCTGTACTAACCCAGGACAGAGTGGTAGGGGGGGGGTTAAGACGGGGTGGGGGTGGGGGCTAGGGCTCGGGGCGGGGGGTGGGGGGGTTTAAGGGTTGGGTAGTGCTCGGTGGTGGGTTAGGGTTGTGGGGGGGTTAGGGGTTCAGGGTTGGGTGTTAGGGGGGGGGTTAGGGGTCAGGGTTGGGTGTTGGGGGGGTTAGAGGTCAGGGTTGGGTGTTGGGGGGGGTTAGAGGTCAGGGTTGGGTGTTAGGGGGGGTTAGGGGTCAGGGTTGGGTGTTGGGGGGGGGGTAGAGGTCAGGGTTGGGTGTTAGAGGGGGTTAGGGGTCAGGGTTGGGTGTTAGGGAGGGGGTTAGGGGTTCAGGGTTGGATGTTAGGGGGGGGGTTCGGGGTCAGGGTTGGGTGTTAGAGGGGGTTAGGGGTCAGGGTTGGGTGTTAGGGGGGGTTAGGGGTCAGGGTTGTGGGGGGGGTTAGGGGTCAGGGTTGGGTGTTAGAGGGGGTTAGGAGTCAGGGTTGTGGGGGGGTTAGGGGTCAGGGTTAGGTGTAAGGGGGGGGGTTAGGGCTCTTGGGTGGTGGAGGAGTTAGGACGGGGGGGCTCGGGGCTCGGGGGGGGGGCAGCAGGGGTGGGTTCGTCTGGGGGAGGGGGGGGGGTCAGGGTTAGGTGTTAGAGCTCAGGGGGGGGGGGTGGTGGTGGTGGGGGGGGGGGTGTTGGTGGCTCTCACCCGCCTCGGCGCCCAGGGCGATGCGCGCCTCCGCCAGGTACGGGGTGTCGCTCTTGGAGCGCAGCCGCTGAGCCGCGGCGGCCGCAGCCCGCGGCGGCTCCTCGTCCTCGTCGCCGCTCGCAGACGCCGCCATTCGAGACTGCCGGCAGCAGCAGCAGTAGCAGTGGCAGCGGCGATGGGAACAGAGCGAGAGGGGAAAAGCAGCGGTGACAGACAGGAGAGAGAGAGATGGGGGGGGGGGAGGTAGGGAGAGCGGGGAAGGAAGGGGAGATTGAGTGGGGGGAGGAAGGGAGGGATGGCGCGGGTTAAGGGTTAGTCGGGGTTTTGGATACGGACGACGAGAAGGAGGAGGGAGCGAGGGAGGAGGAGGAGGGATTCAGAGGCGATGGGGAACTGAAGGAGGAGGAGGAGGTTTTGGAGGCTGTAGCAGCTGTAGCAGCAGCTGAAGCCGGCAGGATGTGCTTATTGCGTGTTGGGGTGGTGGTGGTGGTGGCGTGCTGAATATGCCGGGGTTTGTTGGTTTGGAGGAGTTTGGAAGTCGTGGTTAGGGATGGCTTTTTTTTCTTGTTCGCTTGGAATATTCGGGGTGTTCGTTTTAAAGCTCCGTTGAGAGCTCACTTTCTTGAGAACTGCTTTTTGTGTTGAGTTTGTTGCTGACGTCCTCATCCCGCACCTAACGATTACCGCGGATTTGGCTACGTGCGGTGCGAAAGAAGTTAAAAATGCGTACACGCATTGCTGGGTGTTTGGGTGATGCGGGTACAAGGCGTAGTCGGGTTGGTTTAAGTTATAGTATTAAGTGCTGAGTGTTTAGTGGTTGGGACTTGCAAGTAAGGTTTATAATATGGGGGTGCAGGGAGTTTAGTGCAGGATGTTTAGTGCAGGATGTTTGGTTCTGTGTGTGTGGTGCAGGGTGTTTAGTGCATGGTTCTGTGTGTGTGTGTGGTGCAGGGAGTTTAGTGCATGGTTCTGTGTGTGTGTGGTGCAGGGTGTTGGTTCTGTGTGTGTTGGTGTGGTGCAGGGAGTTTAGTGCATGGTTCTGTGTGTGTTGGTGTGGTGCAGGGAGTTTAGTGCATGGTTCTGTGTGTGTTGGTGTGGTGCAGGGAGTTTAGTGCATGGTTCTGTGTGTGTGTGGTGCAGGGTGTTGGTTCTGTGTGTGTTGGTGTGGTGCAGGGAGTTTAGTGCATGGTTCTGTGTGTGTTGGTGTGGTGCAGGGAGTTTAGTGCATGGTTCTGTGTGTGTGTGTGGTGCAGGGAGTTTAGTGCATGGTTCTGTGTGTGTGTGGTGCAGGGTGTTGGTTCTGTGTGTGTTGGTGTGGTGCAGGGAGTTTAGTGCATGGTTCTGTGTGTGTGTGTGGTGCAGGGTGTTTAGTGCATGGTTCTGTGTGTGTGTGTGGTGCAGGGAGTTTAGTGCATGGTTCTGTGTGTGTGTGTGGTGCAGGGTGTTTAGTGCATGGTTCTGTGTGTGTGTGGTGCAGGGTGTTTAGTGCATGGTTCTGTGTGTGTGTGTGGTGCAGGGTGTTTAGTGCATGGTTCTGTGTGTGTGGTGCAGGGTGTTTAGTGCATGGTTCTGTGTGTGTGGTGCAGGGTGTTTAGTGCATGGTTCTGTGTGTGTGGGTGTGGTGCAGGGAGTTTAGTGCATGGTTCTGTGTGTGTGGTGTGGTGCAGGGTGTTTGGTTCTGTGTGTGGTGTGGTGCAGGGTGTTGGTTCTGTGTGTGGTGTGGTGCAGGGTGTTGGTTCTGTGTGTGGTGTGGTGCAGGGGTTGGTTCTGTGTGTGGTGGTGGTGGCAGGGGTGTTGGTTCTGTGTGTGTGTGGGGTGCAGGGTGTTGGTTCTGTGTGTGGTGTGTGCAGGGTGTTGGTTCTGTGTTGTGGTGTGGTGCAGGGAGTTGGTTCTGTGTGTGGTGTGGTGCAGGGTGTTGGTTCTGTGTGTGGTGTGGTGCAGGGTGTTGGTTCTGTGTGTGGTGTGGTGCAGGGTGTTGGTTCTGTGTGTGGTGTGGTGCAGGGTGTTGGTTCTGTGTGTGGTGTGGTGCAGGGTGTTGGGTTGGTTGCAGGGTGTGGTTCTGTGTGTGGTGTGGTGCAGGGTGTTGGTTCTGTGTGTGTGGTGTGGTGCAGGGTGTTGGTTCTGTGTGTGGTGTGGTGCAGGGTGTTGGTTCTGTGTGTGGTGTGGTGCAGGGTGTTGGTTCTGTGTGTGGTGTGGTGCAGGGTGTTGGTTCTGTGTGTGTGTGGTGCAGGGTGTTGGTTCTGTGTGTGGTGTGGTTCAGGGTGTTGGTTCTGTGTGTGGTGTGGTGCAGGGTGTTGGTTCTGTGTGTGGTGTGGTGCAGGGTGTTGGTTCTGTGTGTGGTGTGGTGCAGGGTGTTGGTTCTGTGTGTGTGGTGTGGTGCAGGGAGTTGGTTCTGTGTGTGGTGTGGTGCAGGGTGTTGGTTCTGTGTGTGTGGTGTGGTGCAGGGTGTTGGTTCTGTGTGTGTGTGGTGCAGGGTGTTGGTTCTGTGTGTGTGGTGTGGTGCAGGGTGTTGGTTCTGTGTGTGTGGTGTGGTGCAGGGTGTTGGTTCTGTGTGTGGTGTGGTGCAGGGTGTTTGGTTCTGTGTGTGTGTGGGGCAGGGTGTTGGTTCTGTGTGTGTGGTGTGGTGCAGGGTGTTGGTTCTGTGTGTGGTGTGGTGCAGGGTGTTTGGTTCTGTGTGTGTGTGGTGCAGGGTGTTGGTTCTGTGTGTGTGGTGTGGTGCAGGGTGTTGGTTCTGTGTGTGGTATGGTGCAGGGTGTTGGTTCTGTGTGTGCGGTGCAGGGTATTGGTTCTGTGTGTGTGTGGTGCAGGGTGTTGGTTCTGTGTGTGTGTGGTGCAGGGTATTGGTTCTGTGTGTGTGTGGTGCAGGGTGTTGGTTCTGTGTGTGTGTGGTGCAGGGTGTTGGTTCTGTGTGTGTGTGGTGCAGGGTGTTGGTTCAGTGTGTGCGGTGCAGGGTATTGGTTCTGTGTTTGTGTAGTGCAGGGAGTTTTTAGTGCCGGATGTTTGGTGCTGTGTGTATGATGCAGGGAATTGAGTGCAGTGTTTATTGCATGGTGTTTGGTTCAGGTGTTTTGCGCACTTTCTGTTCCGTTTAGTGCAGCCTGTTGAGCACAGGCAATGTTATTTGGGCGTTTGGTGAGGTTCTCAAGTAAACGTATCTCATTGTGTTGAATCATTTGCCTAGCTTGTGAGTAATTAGTGCTGTACCGTCTACATGGCTAAAGACGTTTGACAGTGGATCTCTTACAAAAACCCCTATTGTCTCCACCTCCGAATCTATGCACGGATCTTATTATCCGCACAATTCCAAAATTATGTGCGGAATAAAATTATGCAACAAACAAGGATCATAGGAATATGCCGATAGCATGTGCCCATATCAATTCAGAATAGGGCTGTGTATTGTACAAATAGTATAGTTAGCGAGCAGCTCTTTTAGTTAGCATCATACATGATTAAAGAAATTGAGGCTTAACATGTGTGCACTTGGATACACACTTTACTAGGTACTGATTTTATGGATGTGATGGTGACAGCTTTGGGGAGGTCTTCATCAAGCAGTGGATAGATCTTGGCTGATATTGAGATCTACCAGAAGTCAAAGCCGGAATCAAATATAAATTGCACTGGTCATGTGCATGGCCAGAAAAAAAACATAGTTTGCTGGGATCATAGTCTGGAGTTGCACTAACCACGTCAACAATGTTGGCATTTCCAATGCTAACACTGTATTGTATTGACGAATCAATGGCGTTGTCCGGTGCTGTTTATTGACCTTCCTGAGGTGTGCCACAAATCCCAAAGGTTGGCCAATGAACTGTGTTATATGCGTGGCAGTAACAATGACCACATTATGACATTGTGCTGTCGTATTGATTTCACTGGGAAAGAAAACCTCAGAGTACAACAATGGTGTCATATATGAAATCATACAACTACATGCAAATATATAGTAGTACATTAAACAGAAATCATTATTTTTGTTAACCATTTATGTGCCAATTAAAGTGTAAGGAAACAACGGTGTTGCATGTCTCCACTGGTACAGTACTGCTTTATGACAAGCAGTGCTTCGTGTGACATTGGAAAACGACGCCAGAAAGACGCCACAAATACCATCTTGTCAATCAGTCTTCTTTGACCGCAACTGTAAAGCAGTACTGCTGTATGATGTGAAGACAAGTGGTTTGGTTGTGGTAATTTAATACATATCTCTTAGCAGGTTTCAATCAAACCTTAGTCGAAAAAGCGAATTTGTATTAATTATTTGTGTGTAGTCATCAGTGATGGGACCTGACAATTAACTTCATACAATGTATGAGCCTGGTTTATTTTTGGGGTTGAACAAGGAATGAGAATTAAAGTCAGGCTGTTAGTAGTGTTGGCTCAGTGCTCTGATGTGGATGGAGTACGATATTAGCATTCTAAACCACCCAAGCACCACCACATCCGGCATGGGTATTAAATAATATACAAAGCAGACGACAGCACGTTATACTGAACTCATGCTGTGATTAGGGGTGGGTTCAAGTTCCGGTCATCCAAGACAACAAAGGGCTGCCTTGCAAAGCAAGAATGATCGTCTCAACCGAGGCACCAATAACTGCGTAGAAGAATAATAATCTTAAAATTGTATTTATTTAAGCCTTATTCTAAATATTCATCGTCAAAATAACGTTCATAAAAGCACTTGATGATTTGCCTTCCCCAAATGGAGGGTGATGTAAGGCAGATCTTTGTAGCATATCTGGCGTAAGACAAACATGATATACATTGAGAATCTGTGATGTCACTTCTATGTTATTTCAGGAGGGATGTCACTGGTGATGTAGACAGTCCTTGGTTGGGTTTTAAATACCAATGGCAGAATTAGTAGCGTGGATCAGTGGCGCAGTGGTTTGCATGATGAAACCAGCGACTTCAGGTCCATTCCTGAAATTGGCTAACATCAATGGCGAGTGGTTTCTAATTTGGTCCTGTGCTCCCTTTTCACAAACTCCCACTGATCAGTGTAGTAATGTATGGTTAAACCACCCCCATGACAGCCCCAGTATGGGAGGGCTATCATCCTGCAGTGGGTTGACAAAGGGCTGTAAATAATTATTGGTTTTAGACGAATTGGAAGTATTGATTGTGGTTGAAGATGGAAACCAATAATATGTGTTAAGGAGAGACGGTTTGTTAAGCCC